ATAAGATTAATTATCTTAAAGTTACATTTAAACTCATACACCTACATACTCAAAATCAAAATATAAGCAAATTTGCATTGTTATTTATAGCAAAAAGAGAGGAAGAAAAATATTACTGAGCAAATAAAGAAACAGTACCTGTGCAAACACCAAGTGACTCTCTAATCCCCTCTTCATCCCTGCACCTTGTGGACATCATATCTTTGTACTTTCTTTTAAACTGGGTTATGTTTGGACATTGTTTTAACTCTTCATTCAAACTGATTTAGGTTCAAAAAACTCTCCTGGTTGTTAATAATAGACTTATTATAGTATTTATATTCAGCCTTGAACAGATGAGTTAGATGTGAGAAGTGGTTCTCTTTGACATTGGTTTTTTTCTGTGCCACACTTTCTCTTTGCTGTAGCCAGAGTGATATTTCTTTAACCATAATATCAAATATTTGCTGTTGTTAGCTCTTCCAATTTTGGAATGTCTTGGTCACGATAAGACTAATATCTTGGTTATTTTCATAGTTGCAGTATTTTCTGCCGTTCTTCGCAAATAGTGTTTTTCCTTACATTGTTGATATTGTAATTGTGGTACTGCCTTGCTTGAGACAAATTGTGTAGCTTGAAATGTCTGCGTTTACCATTTCTACTAGTGTGAGTGAGTTAATGAATATTTTTATATCTGTCTGGTCCCAGTATGTCCAGAATGATTCCCCCTCCAGTAAATCCTTGGCGGGCCTGGTTGTCCAGCTGCTGCAGTTCCAGGAGGATGCGTTTGGACGCAGAGTCAACAATCCTGCTCTTACCAAGCTACCTGTAAGCACACACACACAATCATACATCTCCATTATGTGGTGTTTGTGCTTGGTAACACTTGCAGCAGTAAAAACCTGTGGTCAGCATACGCTAAATGGAGAAATGTCGTGTCCCTTTTCGTCCTCTCCTATTTTCAGGCAAAATGTTTTCAGGATTTCAAGGCAGGAGGTGCTCTCTGTCACATCCTGGGGTCTGTCTACAAGTTCAAGAGTGAGCAGGGCTGGTGAGTTCACTTGTAGTTTACCTCCACAGACACAATTGCTGTTGATCCAGAGTTTCATCCTCTAATGGTCATGATGTTTAATCCCTGTGGCCCCTTTTCTTTATTCAGTTTCACTCAATCTGGAGAATAAATTGTATTCGTGGAAGTCCTTAAATTATGTATATTATTTTATTTCATCAAACAATTGTTTTGTATTTTTGGATATTGATTGCTAAGGATGAAAAATGAGAATGTTGCATTGCTCTGTAGTTATTTTAGCAGTAAGCCAAAACAGGACTAGGTACCTTTTATTACCCGGATTTAAACGTTGGAACAGCTTGTAGCAGGTAATGCTCAAGGAAATGATATTTTAATTCTTAATAATTACTAAAATGTAGTTTAATTTGAGTACAGCATCATTTTGTTGCCCTTAGTAATTTCTGCCCACTGTTCCCAGGCGTCGATTTGATCTGCAGAATCCTTCCCGGATGGACAGGAACGTGGAAATGTTCTTAAATGTTGAGAAGAACTTGGTTCAGGTATGATCTACTCACTCCACACACAAGCTTCGAGTGTTTTCAAACTGGCTGATGAACTTAAACCAGAATAAAGACTCTGCTGCAATCTCTGGATGATCTTCTTGTCTTCATTTAAACAAACGTGATGGTAACATTTTAAAAACTAGTTTATTTTTACATAGGCTTCATTTTATACCATCATTTCAAATAAAACTAGCTGATGTTGATAAATCATGTAATTTATAATATTTACAAAAATCGTGTTATCTTAGTAAAGTAATGGGAGTTTACCAAGCGGCATCAGATGCAGACAGTTGGGGTATCGCAGCTACGTTGTCCTGTATCGCAGTGAGATTGACTGTTTTGCGGTTTAAGCCTCTCTGATGGTTTCAGTGTCTTTATAACTGCAGTTTGATGTTAATGTTACCTCTAAGCAGTTTTAACCAAACTGGTGAAATGGATTGACAGATGAGTGCTGGATGTCCCCTACATACATTTTGGGATACAAATATTGTTTCTGATTCTAACTTATTGTCTCTGTACTTTTAGAATAACTGCCTGACTCGACCCACTGTCTTCCTGTCGCCGGACATCGAGCAGAAACAGGCCAGTAAGCTCAAAGACATCATCAAAAGGCACCAGGTGAGCTCCGACCTAATTCATAAAAAACTAACCATTGAAAATATTTCTCAGATACGTAGAATTGTTTCAAATGTAAAACTCTTTACTTTCTTTCGACCTCAGGGCTCGATTACTGACGATAAATCAAAGGCCACCCACCACATTTACCCCTCACCATCCCAACAAGACGAAGGTAGAGACTTGACTGTAACTTCTTTAGTACAAATTGCCAGCGTTTTATTAATTGTAAACAACAAACGGTGTTTTTCTGTATGAAACACTCATCACTGGTTTGTGTGCGTTGCAGAGGAGTGGCTTCGGCCTGTGATGAGGAAAGACAAGCAGGTGCTGGTGCACTGGGGTCTCTACCCAGACAGGTAAGCAGAGAATGTGTCCTCTCTAACAACCGCAGACTTTGGTTCATGAATGATGAGCCACCGTAATACATCTTTTTGTTTTTTTTTTCTTTGACTGTCATTACATCATCAAACAGTTTTCTCGCTGCTAAAAAGTTGGATTTGGATGCTTGAGTAGATGGTTTATTTTATTATTTTACCAAAAGTATTCAACAACAACTAAACTCAAGTTAGTATAAGATCTAAGAGATAAGTTTAAGACATATGTATTGTTGGTCAAGTTGTTTCGAAGATTTTTTTCTTTGTTAATAGAAAACAATATTTAATAGTAACGCTGAACTAAACGCCCCAGTAACCAAACTTCTCTCAGGTGAGGAAAATATTGTCAAGTGATCCTTATGTACTGTTTTTTTCTTTTAGCTATGATACCTGGGTATCAGCCAGCGAGGTGGATGGTGACGTGGAGGATCCTCCGAGCACTGACAGACCCTGGAAGGTGAGTATTAGGTAGAACAGGCAGAACTGAACTAGACAGTTTTGAAGTGGTATTGTAAATGAATAAGTTAGCAGCCAGTTTCATATCCTGTCATTTATTCGTATTTATGATATTTTTCTTGATGAATTTTTGTTCCGAACTGAATTAAAAAACAACATGACAACCAAAGAATTTTCTGCAGTCTTGACTTGATAAAATCAGGGCAGCAGTTTCAGGGGAGGTTTAGATTACTTGAGTATGATAAATAATAAATGATAAATAAACAACTTGCCTCAACCTCTGTGTGCTTCTTCCTCCCCATCAGGTTCACGCCAAGTGGGTTTTAGAGACAGACGCCTTCAACGAGTGGATGAACGAAGAAGACTACGAGGTAGACGAGAACAAGAAACCAGTCAGCTTCCGCCAGAGGATCTTCCCCAAAGAGGAGGAGGTAGATATTTGATTGTGTGTGTGTGACCCATAGCTTTACTTATTCCTTTTATTGAGAAAATTTCATCCCCAGAGAAATTCTCAGCACTGGTCCTCCAGTAGAAATTCTCACTTCAAAATGGAAGAACAGAATTCACATCAAATTGAAACCAGTCAAACACAGTTCATGGGTGTGGAAAAAGTTGGTGATGGAATTTTTTTAACTGACAAAATGAGCATGAATGTTTCAGAGTATTTTTTGCTGCACGCTTGTTTTGTTGGATTTGTCTTTGCCCTGTGGACTGTGCATCCTCCTTCGTCTTTGTTGTGCCTCTGTCTGTTTGTCGCTCATCCTTTCCAAAGCTTTCCTCGCTCTTTGTCTCCTCCAATGTCTTTCAGGGTTTCTGTCCATTGTTGGAAAATAATTTTCAACATTATCCAGGATTTTAAAATTAAGAGAATGTGCAAGGCATATTGAATAATTCTTTTAGTTTAAAGACATGCGTTTCATTTCAAAAAAAGACATTTTATTAAATTATTTTGTCTGTTACAGATAATGGAGGTGTCAATTAACATGAAGCAAACTGGCCTTGAAAATGTTTAATTGTAATTTAGGATAATAAGAATGATAAGAGACATTTTTCACTCAAAGGTGATGCATTACTTTCATTATGTGGCCTAAAAAGTTAGTGAACAACTAATCCAACTATTATTTAAACTAACTTTAGAAAAGTTTGGTTGCTTAAGAACATTTATGGAAAATAAATATTTCACCACAGAACTTGAGTTGAAGGTTTATGTGAAAGAGAAGCTACTTTAAAAGTACACAGGAACCCTGATCATGTCCACCACCACAGCATCCCCCCTCCCTGCCGTCGCTCTCCCAACGCTTCCCCTCCTTGTGTGTGCAACCGTTCCATCCTCTCATTCTGCCGCTCTTTCTCTCATCCTCCATCCCTCGCTCCCTGCGCTACACGGGGTTTGTCTGATCAGTCTTCCCGTACACCCGATCGCAAGGAGCGCAAAGCCAACTCTGCCGGCAAGAAGAGGAGGCGCTCGCCCTCACCGCCCAGTACTCCTGCTGAGTCTCGCAAGAAGGGAGGAAAGAAGGGGTAAGAAGCCCACGTTTTAATATTTCTTTTAATATAACGAAATGCTAGTGAGCTTGGAAATAAATAAAAAGTGTTTTCCTGTTGTGTAGCATTACATAGAGCTAGCTAAAACGATTGGTATTTGGCAATATTCCACACTGGGAAGTCCCACGAGGGAAACAACTATGTGCAAAGTTTTGTGTTCTTGAAAGGGTTTAACCGGCACTAGGCCTTACAAAAGTGACAGCAACCATCACTCCCATACAAAGTTAGTAACAACAGCTGTTAAAATACACCAGTATTGGATCAGTCCTGTACATATGACAGCAGAGCTCCTCAGCACACAGAGACGAGATATATCAGTCCTGTATATCACAGGCGATACTTGTTGACAAGATGAAATGATTTCTAAAGCACAATATGCACAAAATTTCTATGTCCTTTGTTATAGTGTATTGACTTTAACTGACTCATAACATGGTTCACTCTCTGGTGTCAGGAATCCCGGGCCTCACTGGAAGCGACGAGGCCACAGAGGCGAGGAGGAGGACACAGAGGAGGACATGACCAAGGACTTAGACGACTCGTCGGCTGGTGCCAGCTTGGAGGAGGGCAGCGTGTCCAAAAATGGTACGTGTATTTTGGGAATGAGCTGAAACATTCTGTTGCAAAGTTGTATATCAGCCAGCGTGTCCTTATCAATTATTGTCTTTTCTGGTGGGTTTCCTTGTGTGGTTTTTCTTTGTTGTTGTGTTGTTGTTGTGCACTGGGGCACAAGAGTGACTAGAAAAATCCTTGGAAAAATCCAACACACTCAGACAGAGCTCCAGTCACAAATTTAGGAAAACGGCCTGAGGATGTTCTTTTTTAACAACCACAGAAGAATGAAGCTTGATCTGAAACTCTGCCTCTTCTCTTTAAAAACCAAATACACAATGCTCAGTAAAAATCAGTTTTTAGACCAGGTCCCCTCTGCAATGTCCCACTTTCACCAAAATCTCCTCCTTTTTCATTCCAACACACACACATACCCGTTCTCACTCAAATCTATTTGAGTGTCCTCAGCAAACCAGAGTGCTGCTTAATGCCTTCGTACCCACAACTGAATTAGACTCTTTTTTTCACGATTCGTCGACTTCAACATATTTATCTCCTTTTTCTTCCAAACACAGCAAGTTCAAAGAAAGACAGCGAAAATACTCCGGTGAAAGGAGGGAATGTGGCCGACTTGGGTATGTATTTTTGACATGTTGTTTTTAGTTGTCAATCAAAAAAAACTGATTATTAAAGTTCAAACAAGCATCGTGATGCATCCTCACTGAAATGTGTTTTTATCTTTTCCAGATGACATGGAGGACGACTCTGTGCTGTCTGGTGGAAAGGTAAGATGACTCTGTCTAACCAAACAGGTGTTAACCTTTGCTCAGGGCAGCTATCAATATTTATACATGGTTTCTGATGAGTTTAATTGTCAGAATTTTAGGCCATGTACTAGGTTTTTAATATGTTGAGGTAAATGTGTAATTAACTTAAACTACTTCCTTTACTCTAAAACAAGTAAGATATTGAAATGATTTATAATCCAGGAAAAGTAGTTCTTGAAATGGATCAGATGAACTATATTTCCAGAAAAACAATTATATGGTTGATAATACTCTTTAAAAAAAGAAATAACAAGGAGAACGTTGGCCTGGAAAATAAATTAAAGCATCTGCACGCTTATTTTCCATTGCCACCACCCAGAAACCATGGCCTTTAAAAATCACAAATAATCATCTTCAATCCATCTGAGTCCTGCTCACACAAAAGCAGTTTTAATCATGCTGACCTGTCTGACATCGCAGGATGACGAGGACCAGGGCAAAGCTGAAATCAACCGGCTGATCGATGCTGGCGAGGACAACGTGACTGAACAGACTCATCACATCATCATCCCCAGCTATGCTGCCTGGTTCGACTACAACTGGTAAGAGCTTGGGAATGGGTATAAAAAGATTTCTACGACAAAAACTGTAGACACGTCTGCAGGGTTCTGATTTTTGTTTGTCTTGTGGAATAATAATGAGAAAGCCACAAATGTGTTGCACTATAATGGAGGCAACGGAGCAGAATGACACAATTTGGAAGTCAATCGGAGGCTTTAATTATTACTAGCTGAACAGTGTTAGTGTTTATAGTGTGCATATAAGTTTCCAAATGTTCAGATAACTAAAAACTGAGTCTTTTTTTTAAATGTTTAAAATAACTGATGCTAATTTTCATTATTCCTTCCTGATTTCCGCTTGTAAATATTTTTTTCTGTGTTTTCTGGTCAGCATCCACGAGATTGAGAGAAGAGCCTTACCCGAGTTCTTCAATGGAAAGAACAAGTCCAAAACTCCAGAGATGTAAGTAAATGCATATACACACACCTCATCATTTCCAACCACAAGACTTGTTTCATACATGTAAGTTTTTTGTACGCTGTGTTGCTGCAGATCCAAAGTGATACCTGTCCTGTTGTGCTAATGTTTTCGTGGTTCTTCTCGACTCTTTAACAGATACCTGGCCTACCGTAACTTCATGATCGACACGTACCGGCTCAACCCTCAGGAGTATCTCACCTCCACCTCCTGCCGCAGGAACTTGACCGGAGATGTGTGCGCCATCATGAGGTGAGTTAAGTCCTATGAGCATGCACATTTGTGCTGCATCAATTTTCTAACGAGAAGTAAATTAAAGCTCATGTAATGCCTCTGCTCTTTGTGTCCAGGGTCCATGCGTTCTTGGAGCAGTGGGGTTTGGTCAATTACCAGGTGGACTCAGATAGTCGCCCTTTGCCCATGGGCCCCCCACCCACACCCCACTTCACTGTGCTGGCTGACACACCCTCTGGCCTCATACCCTTGAACCACAGACCCCCACCGGTAAGAACAACTTAAGTGATATGAAACTGAGTTAGGTCAGCAGTCCTGCGTTTGAAGCGATTATAAACTGTTATGGTGATGGGTGTGTGTTGTTTCAGGAAAGTAATGATGAAATGTGCTTCAGGAAGGACAGTTTGAGTAATGGATTAGTGATTTTAAAGGATTATAAAATGTTACCTCACTGCTCAGCAATTTACAAAACTAAGACACGGCTTTGTAGCTAAACAGATCACAATTTGATATCTTCAGTTTTACTCGTCAAAGGAAAACAACTTTTTTTTACATTTGAGAGTTTGAAAGAATCTTTGAATGTAATAAAATTTATATCACCTATATTTTGAAAACTCAATGTCAAATGAAGATCCATACAAATTCCCCTTAAACTCACTGAACAGAAACATTCATGTCCTGTGCTTCATTTGTCCAGATTCCTCCTCAACAGCCGATGCCCAACTTCATAGACAAAGGCAAAGACAAAGCCATCGACCTGCAGAACTTTGGCCTTCGCCCCGACCTCTACAAGAAAAGCACCAAGGTCAGCCCACGACTCGCTTTACATCCTGAATATGTTTTCAACACGTTTAAAATATCCTAAAAAGAACTTCAAACATTATCTATTCACTTTGTATGGTAGGCAAACATTTTGTTGAACATTTTACTCATTCCACTGATAATAATTCAAACACTGTAAACATGTTTCAGTTTGGATCTCTACAGGGTAAAGCAGTCACTTCCACCAGGGACTGGACCGAGCAGGAGACTCTGCTGTTGCTAGAGGTGAGTCCATCAAAAGAAGAAGCTGTAATAAAGCTGTTGTTGCCGTCTTTCTTCCACACCCTTATTCCCCCTCCTTTTAACTTAATTCCTCTTCCATCTATTTACGCATCTTGATCCCTTCTTTCTGTCTTTGACTTAGTTTTCTCTTTTGCGCTCTGACTTTTGAAATACCCGCTCTTCCACAGTACATATTGCCCCTCCTCTTTCCCTCCATACCATCATATTCCATCTTATGACCCTTTAGTTTGTACATTTCTATCCCTCCTCCTTTGCTTTTTAAATGGTTAGACTTCAATACTCACTCTCCTCACCTTCTCCCAGGCTCTGGAGATGTTCAAAGACGACTGGAACAAAGTGTCGGAGCACATAGGTTCCCGCACCCAGGATGAGTGTATCCTGCACTTCCTACGGCTGCCCATCGAGGATCCTTACCTGGAGAGCACGGAGTCCACTCTGGGCCCTCTAGCCTACCAGCCCATACCCTTCAGCCAGTCTGGAAACCCTGTCATGAGCACTGTCGCCTTCCTGGCCTCTGTGGTCGACCCCAGAGTCGCATCTGCTGCAGCCAGGGCAGCTCTAGGTGAGAACTGAGTAGAGGAAACTGAATATGAGGAGTTGGTAATAAGGGGGAAAAAAAATCACCATGTACCATAACAGTACAGTCTAGTTTGTAACAACTTATTCTGAATCATAAAAATCTTCCAAATCCTAATAAATGTGTCAGGTTAATATCTGAATCATAAATTATGCACCTGTCTGTCTGCAGAGGAGTTTTCCCGTGTGCGTGAGGAGGTGCCTGCTGAGCTGGTGGAGGCTCATGTGAAGAAGGTGCAGGAAGCTGCCAGGAGCACAGGAAAGGTGGACCCCGCCTTCGGCCTGGAAAGCAGTGGCATCGCTGGCACGGCCCCCGAGGAGCCAGAAAAGACTGGTGGGTAACATGTGACCGAGAAGTAGACACATGGGATCTGCTTGATTCTTCAAGGAAGTGTGGTTATGGAATTTTAACTTTGATTCTAAATTCTTATTGTGTTGTGGAGATTGCAGCCACTGGAGGGCAGTATAGGTTAGCAGTTTGACTAGCAAGCCCTTGCAGAGAGAGGAAACTTTGAGTTTAGATCATTGTCGTGCTCGTGCGTGCGTTTTTGTTTTTTAAGGCAGAGGGAGGACTGGACAGTGTTTTCACTTTGTCCTCCAATGATCACATGAATATGAGGCTGCAGTGATCAATCTGTCTTGACATTTGAAGTCAATACACTTGTCACCGGCATGTCTGGGGGGGGTGAGCCATACAGAAATATTTGTGTATATGTGTGTGTGCGTGCATGTGCGTGCATGTGTGCATACTGCCGTGGTAACCAGTGGATTAAAACAACAGTGGCAGATGGGGCAAGAGAGCAGGAGGAGGGGGAGCAGAAAACTGGGTCATCACACTCCAACACGAGCTTATCTCTTCCTCTCTGTTTCGCTTTGTGCTTCCTTGAAACATTTCTCCCTGTTTCTTTGACGTCTTCCCCCCCACACACACACACACACACACACAAACAAACCAATCATTAATTATAGTTGAGGGAGTTTCCTCCGGAGCCGTTATTTCAATCAATAACCTTTAATGCAGTGACCACCTTGCCTCGCCTGAAGCACTCGACCAACACACACAACATCACACAGTCAATATTCAAACCTTTAACACACACTCAAGTGCACCCATGACATGATTTAACACTCAGCCTCCCCTGGTTGTGTGGATGTGTGTACACATCACACCCTTCCCTGTGGGCCACTACACTTAAAATGCTTTTGACCTGAATTTCCTCTCTGGACGCACTTCCTTCCAACAGTGTTTGATGGTGTTAAACTCAAGAGAATCAACAAATGTGTTTTATAGTCTGACATCTGTTGTCTTAATTCTTTTACAGGTACATCATTACTGTTCAATGTACTGTACTTGTTGTGTAACATCTCTGTCTCATCTCGTTTTTTTTGGGAGATTAAAGAATTCATGGGGGAGAATCTGTATTCTCAATTAACTTAAGGCTGCAGCACAGCTTTCTGTTACCAACTAATCAATCTGTGATCAGTGTGTTGTTCTGTAACTTATTCTTTATCACTCTGTCGCCTGCAGAAACCACAGAGACAGAAAAAATGGACACGGACTCAGACTCCCAACAGGCTGATAAGGTAAGACCATGTTTTCTATGTTTCCTGCAAATCTCAAAAGGCCTGTTTCTTATTATTTGTTGTTATCCTCATTATTCTTTTTCATTTGGGTATTCATGTTTTAATGGGTCCCTCTGCAAATGTTAAAAACACAAGGCTGCAAATAAATTATATTTTTCTCTTTGCCAACAAATCCCATGTCGAGACCAACACAACATTGATCAGTCAAAAACTATTTCCTAACTTGTCTATGGCACTCAGCCTCAAACCCAATGCTTCTGACTGAGGACACAAGTCTTGTTGTTTTTCTCAAATAAATACTTTCATTGTAAATAAAATAAGCCCCTAAAACAACCTCCATGTTTAGCAGACTGTCCTCAAACAGAAGTAAACTGTGCATTTGTTAGGGACTATTTTCAGTAGCAGGTTAATACACATTCAGTGTTTTTATTTCCAGCAGAGGAACAACCGCTGTGGTTAAAATAAACCACGGACTGTGTGTTTATGGTAATAAAGAAAGATGGCACCCAATGCAGCAGTGTGGCTCACCAATGTGTTTTTAATAGTTTGAGGACAACGGTGAAGCTCTGTGGCCCTGAGGAATAAGGTGTTTTTGGCTTTAGATGTCATATAAAATTAAAAGGTGACCAACCTCATCCCGAACAATAGCAAGATGAATTTCCATGAGTAATTGTTATATTTGGAAAAACTCTTAAAACATATTTTTGCGGCACCTTTCACATCATTTCTTCTTAGTCTGCCCCTGATCTCTGCATGAGCAATTCAAAGTTTGATGTGGTAAAACAAAAAACACATAATTTCTTTTGATAAGCATCTCATGTGTATTTTTTTAAGACTTGTCCGCTCTCTCACATGGTGTTTAAAATAAATCTTTCCACTCATCTACATTTGGTCCTGTCTCTTGGTGTGGAAAGGCCCAGCGGGTGAATTTAATGACATTTGCAAACGTTCACATTGTCCCCGCTCTGCTGGGCAGCTCGGTGGTTGATGGTTTCCTCATTAACATCCATTAACCAGTGTCAGACACTTTGTTCAAATCCCAGTGATTGTCCTCAAAACATAAGTAGGGACAGGACCTATTGTTCAATTCACTTAGCTGTGGCGCCCTGAGCGTCTCAGATTAACAGCTACATTCACCTGTTGCCGTTATGCAGCTGTTATTCAACTTGTGAGTGACACTCAATCTAAAGTCAGATCTCAGTAAGACTTGTAACAAAGGGTCTTGTTTGTGCTTCTTGTGCCATTTGTATGTACCACTTATTGTTATTTCCCTGTGTTTTAACCTTTCAGGCAGAGTCGAAGGATGAGGCAGAGAAGCCCAGTGAGTCTGCAGAAAAGAGCGACAAGACGGAGCCTACAGACAAAGTGAAGAAGGAGGGAACAGAGCCATCAGAGCGCGAGGAGGAGACGGAGGAAGGAGGAGACAGCAAGACGTCTCCAGCAGGTAAAGATAATGTGTAATGTGTAAAGTAAATCTATCATTGATCAATATTTTCTGTGTTAGTTGTCTTATGGAACAAGTCCTCGTAAGAGTTTTTGATAACAAAATGTTCGAAAATGCAAACTCAAGATTTTGTGCAGACATCTGAAAACTCTTCTTAAGATTAGCAGACGAATGTGCAGAGGGATGTTTTTTGATCTAATTGCACTCAAACACAGAAAACACTCAAAAGCTCGTTATATTTCTTTCACTTTCAGAAAAAGACAAGGAGGAGACCATGGAGACATCGTCCTCAGAGCAGGAAAAGGAGAAGGACGAGAAGGCAGTGACAGAGGAGGGAGAGGAAAAGAGGAAGAAGCTGGAGCATGACATTGGAGAGGGAAACATCGCCACCGCGGCCGCAGCTGCTCTGGCATCTGCTGCCACCAAGGCCAAGGTGAGACTGCAGGAGAGCTGACACAAGTCTGATTTTCCAAAGTTCACTTGAGGTGTTATTTTATGAAACTTTATCAGAGAGACATTGGTCATCTTACTGATTCTGCTGTCTTCCTGTTTGTCTCTCTTTTCAGCACTTGGCAGCAGTGGAGGAGAGGAAGATCAAGTCCCTGGTTGCTCTGCTGGTTGAGACACAGATGAAGAAGCTGGAGATTAAGCTGAGGCACTTCGAGGAGCTTGAGACCATCATGGACCGAGAGAAAGAAGCAGTAAGTCCAAGAGCTGATGTTTGAACTTGAGAATAAACGTGGACGTTGCACCAGCACAACTGGGAAAGATGGCACATTATGGATTATTACATGCACTTAAATCCTCTACACCCTCAGCGGTGGTTATTAATAATGCAGGTGGTCTGTAAACATAAGCTCATCCTGCAGTTTGAAGTCACACCCCCTCCAGTGTTGATTCAAATACAGACAAGACTGAACAAAACCTGTTTACAACTCCAAATTGTCATGGTTACATATAATTCAGAATCAGAATGTGAATTACCCTAAATTCATCAACTGGGGGATTCTCCAGTAAATAGGTCATGTCATGATAATGCATTAATATTTAATGATATGTTTGTGAGAGGATTTATGGTTGGGATAAACAAGTGCCTACATCCAAAAACAAAAAATCAAATGAAAGTGGCAAGTAGACATTAGCAGCTCTCATGTTGGTCATTTTCTCTTTTCCAAATCCTCCAGAGACTGGAAAGGAAACACTGAATCAGCTCTTTGTTAAGGAACTGAATTGCAAATAAAACATTTTCAAGTAAAACTGTTACCTGTCTGTAAAAAGCAAATGAAAAGCGCTCAGCTGTGTGTGTTTGTTTCTGTGTGTGTGTCCTGCTCATGGACAATCCCTGGAGACTCAAGCAAGAGTTTAAAACTGTGTTTTCGCGTTGGAGGCATCGGGAGCGTAGCCCAGTTTCACAGCTGTAAATAGTGCATGAAAAGGAGCCTGGTTTACATAAGCTTTCTGAAGACAGGAGAGAAACTAAACCTGTGCTTCTGCCATCGGCTGTAAAACACTGAGCGCCGAACAAAAAAACAAAGAGGAGCAAAGAAACAAAAGATCGTTTTACACAGTCTGAGCATGATTTCTCCTCTGCAGACGTACAGGCAGCCAGTAAACAAACCTGAAGAATATTTTCATAGAGCTCTGAAAGAAAGTTTAACATTGCAGGGTTAAGTTAATCAAATCGCTCGTCCCTAGTTTGATCTAAACATGCAGATAAGTTTGGTTTATATAAGATTTAAGAGATCAATCTCCAAACTAGAGCCTAAACGATGAATATGTTTGGGGCCGATAGTGATATGAGGCCGCAAAGAATCCGATATCGGTATTTTCAGGAAATCAGGACTTGGTGAGTGTCAAAGCTGCACTTCGACATTTAAATTATAGCATGTTTTTAATATGTCGTCATTTAATGTAAAACCTTGCAACTGCCCTAAACACACATCCCCATGTGATTTTTGTCAAGTTGTTGCCTTTTAAAGAGCCAAAGAAAACAATTGTTCTTATAGAAGACAACTTAATAAATCACACTCATGTTGGTTGGAAAAGGGTCAATGATCAATTTGAATTTCACCCAGTTACGCTTTTACTTTTAGACCCTTATGTGTTGTCCAACGCATCTTGATCATCACTTGGCTTCCTGTTGTCCTTGGTTTTGATTATATCAAATGTTTTTTAATTCATCTTTCTCCGCGTCTTTCTGTGCAGTTGGAGCTCCAGCGACAGCAGCTGCTCACCGAGCGTCAGGCGTTCCACATGGAGCAGCTCAAATATGCCGAGATGAAGGCGAGGCAGCAGATGGAGCAACAAGCTGCTGCTGCTGCCGCCGCCGCTGCTGCCGCAGCTGCCCAGGCCCAGGGACAGGCCCCCGGATCTGGACCCCACTCTGGGCCCTCTCAACCAGGCATGCACCCCGGAGGACCCCCACCACATCACGGAGGACCCCCACCACACCACGGAGGGCCACCGCCCGGTGCTGCCATGCACCCTGGCTACCCCCCAATGGGTCACCACCCCATGGCCCCTCACCACCCAGGACAGACAGGTGAGAGATGAGCACGTGGTGATGAATATGAAGTGTTCAGAGAGGGAGAGAAAAGGATGAAGCACAGAGATGTAGATTATATTCTAGACTGCTGATGTGTCCAAACGCTTTCTCTGTACACAATTATTTAAAATCTACTTGTGGGAAAACTAGTTGTTAGTTGTGGGTGAGAATTAAATTATACAACACGGCCAGTCTTCATACACACAATAATTTCTGCAACCATCATTACCGCAGACTGATCATATGGTTCATTCCAAACAGGCATGTCTAGAAGGAACACTGCGCTAGTTTGCAATCAAGTAAAGAGACCCTGTAGATTTGATGCCATAGTCGAAGTTTACAAAAATCTGTCCATGTGTTTCTGTTTTGAAATGATTCTTCAACATTTGCCTGCCAGTCCCTCGTTAAAATGATTTGAATGAAAACTTCCCTTTGGCAAGATTTTTGCTTGTGCAGCTCATTGCCTCCTTTAAATCTCCACATGTCTGATTTGTTTTTTCTCTACTTCATCCACTGCAGGACCGATGGGACCAGGCCAGCCGATACCTGGACGTATGATGCCTGGCCCGCCCACCGCAGGCCCCCCTCCTGGCGGCATGGCTCCCATGATGCCCCCACGCCACCCTGGAGCTCCCAACGGCATGTGTGAGTGCCACTCTGTCGCATTAAGTTTGAGTTACATTCGTTTTCTATGTGTAAACTTGTATGTTTGTGTACATGTGATGATTAGACAAACACAGTGATCTATGTTTGGTGTTGTGTTTACCGTTGGATTTACCGAAAGCAGAATCCAGTGTTTACACCACAAACAACCAAAGAAGGGGTTTCTGGGAATTCAAATATTGCTTTGACCCGGGCGTTGACAGCTGGTATTTACTCTGAATGTCAGCTGCAGCTAAATGTTTGGGTCTTGGCTGCTTATTAGCGTCACCTGACACTTTATTGAGTCTGCAGCCAAACAATAACTCAGTCAGCAGCATCTTTATTTAGACGGCTCCATTTTAAAATGTAAAACAAAAAGTGAAAATACAAAATATCCATAAAAGTACAAACAAGAATACACATTATTTTGTGTTAATCATCTCCTGAAGTTTTACCTGCTGGTCCTCGGAAGGGCCCAAACTCCAAACCCTCATGTTGGGAACCATAGTCAAGCCACCATGGACTCACCTTTTTCCATAAACTGTTTGTTTCTCTAAAATCAGAATCTTTATCTTTTTTTTTCTAGACCCTGGCCCAGCACCTGCACAGCCTGAAGCGGTTCCTGCAGCTCCTGTGGCTCCTCCAGCGCCCCCGAGTGCCCGGGTGGCTGACAACTAAGAACTAAACACACACACACACACAGACACACAGACAAAAGCATACACACACACACACAACTTTATCTCTGAAACCCAATCCCGTATTTGATGGCCTTCACGACCGATTCAAAAAATTTCCCGCAGCTCTCAAAATCTCCATTAACGTTTTCAAAAGACACACGTGCACACACACTCTCACACACACACTCAGGGTTCAGTGGCAAGGGTAACCCAATTATACACACACAAACATCCAGGCTTCCTCTCAGGGCACTGCGGCAAGACTCGTCCAGTAATAAACACTGTTTTCTGCTCGGTTGGGCCAGATGGAGGATGGAGGTAATGACTATGTACAGGACAGATTAAAAAGTGTGTCTCAAAGTTTCCAGTCCGGTTTGAATTGACGCTGTTTCCCCATCCTGGCTCTTTAACACGCACCCTCTCGTCTCGTCTCTAAGCCAATCACTAGGTGGAGTTAGTGAGACCAGACAGCGGAGGCTTGTGTGTTTGTGCGTGAGTTTTAACACACAGACGGTTTAAACAATGATATGAATAAAACACACACACAGAAGAGGACCCAGCCTGCCCTCACTCTAGTCTTGTCAAGTATCTACCTCTCGCTCCTCTTTTTAAACAATACACTGTAGTTCTTTGTGTGTGTGTCTGTGAATGTGTGTGTGTGTGCTCAGGATAGAGTGTGAGATGGCGGTTCACTCGTCTGCCTCCTCTGACCAGTTTGCGTCTCGTAAGATGTACAGTTACACAAATATGATCGTCTACAGTCAAAAAAGTTTCAAATCGGAGAAACGAAGCCGATCAACTGGACAAAGTTCAACATGTTAGAGCGTGTTGAAGACTCTTCCGTGTTTTAACCACACAAATAAACCCTACATGTCCTTTGTCTCTGTCCTTCGACCTAAACAAAGATGATTGAATCATTTTTCTTATCTACAAACTCCATGAAAAGCCCAAATCCAAAAACGTACTGTACTTGTCCGTCTTTCAGTTCGTCCCGACCTTGTCTGTGGCTCTCAACCCAAAGCAGAAGAGTGAAATCTTTAAACCTCACAAATAATACATTTCAATTTCTTAAAACATAGAGAGCAAAACTCCTGGTTCAACTTTGGGGCCCGTTGGTGTATTTATAACAGTTATTGTATAACAATTAAGCTGAATCAGTGAGAATAAAACTTTTCTTTGAGCTTTGCCACAACACTCTCAGATTTGATATCATGAGCGATTAACCCACAGAATCAATTTATTAAAACCTCAGAGGAAGAACAGACGTCTAAACTCACCATCATTCTCAGCACTGTCGCACATGTACACACAAACACACACAGAAACACAAGCTAAGCTGAGGCTCACACTGGAGGCTGCGTGCACACAACGACTTGGCCGGACCCTGCCACAAAGCACTGGACAGACACACACACACACACACACACACACAATAGCAAACACATACATATAATCTCCTGCTGACCTTCACACGGCCTTTACAGAGAGGGAGACGCTGTGATGCGGCTCGACCGAAACATCTGACCGCGAACGACACTCTTCCTCGGTGCGGTGGGCTCGTAGATGTTTTTAGGTGCTGATACTGTAGCGACTGACCCCAACCCCCCACCCCCACCTCCCTTCTCCTCACACCTCTGCTCAAAATCTCTTTAACGCCTCCTACCTCGCTAACCCCTCGCACTGACATCTTTGCTTTTTAGCCACTAGCCACGGTAAAAACATTAGCAATATCCTCACTCCTGCATATCAACCTGTTTGGGCGGCGAATGAGAAGAAATCCTGAGTTCATAGTTTTGCCCCGAAATCCTGTGACCTGTTCTGATCCAGTTAATAAAAAGGAAAATTGAACCGGGGGAACAACCACTGAACGTTTTATCACTCGGCTGAAATTTGTAAAAAGTTACTGTTAGTCAATGTCAACATCCATTTTCCAGCTGACCTGAAACTTAACTGAACTTCTGGTCGTTTAAATGTGGTCTGCTCAGGACTCTGCTGAGGTTCAGTCAGAAGCTCCAGAAGAGTTTTATCGAGCTCTAATTACAGCTGAGGAAGAACACGAGTGTTTCACCAACTGAAAGGTGAATGTCTTCAGCCCAGCACGGATATTTAATAACTATTGCATTTTATTTATTTGGTTAAGTTTGCTTGAATGTGTGACTTAAATAAGCTTCATATATTTACCGTGAATGTCCCAGTTCGAATTTACTGTTTTCAGATAGAGATAAATCATCTCAGAAATAAAAGTTTAGCATCTGAAGTTTTCACTCGACTCATTTCGTGTCTGATGAAAGAACTTGTTGGTCGTCTCGTACGACTCACGAATAACTTTGTTTTAATGTGAAATCTAAAAACCACTCCCGCCCTCCTCCCCCCCTCTCGCTAGCACTGTTAGTATCTCTGCTACCTCTTAGTCGTTCATCCGCTAGCTACCTCTTTCTAGAAATCTTCCTCTCGCTATGTGCTACCTCTGTGCGCACCCCTTTGCTACCTCTCGTCCCTTTTCTTTCCACTTTTTTCCGTTTCCCGCCCACATGACTGCTGCATCACTGACTGTTGCCCTCTTCTCTCGCTCTGTCGGGGAAAAAGAATAAAAATCCCACCCACACTCGTACGGTCGTTGACTCTCATTCTCGTTCACCGCGCCCTCCCTTCTCATCGGACATCTTACCCCGGCTTGTTATGTAATATCACTTAAATATGACGGGAATCCCCTTACATATATGATCTTTAATCGATACTTTTTTGTGTTAATGGTAATGTATTTTTAAGGAGAAGTTTTGTGTAGATGGACGTTATCTCTGTTCTTTGGAAGTTTGTAGCATTTCTTTTCTTTTTTTTTTCTTTTTTTTGTATGGGGTCTGTTGGTACTTGGACCTAGACACTGTCGAATAAACTGTGTTTTGTATGAGCCTGACGTCTCGGTTTGTGGAAACATTCGCTTATTCTCCTCAGTTTATTTCTCGTAAACCAGCCTCAGCTCACAAGCTCAGGTTTTACTGAATAGTTCAGATCCCTCGTCTTTGCATTTTGTTAGTTCTCACTACATGTGATGAAATATAGGTAAGAAAACCGATGGTACCTTTTTAATGCTTAAAGTTTTAGAAGAAAGATGATTAAGAATTTAGTCAAAGATTTGTTATTGTTCTAAACTCCATATTTAGTTTTTAATGATCTAACGGGTCAACATGGTGAACGTGTGCCTCAAGTAGACAATCGCAAAGATGCTAATAATATGACGTACACACGTTGCTTAAAAACAAAGTACAAAACTCAAGTAGAAAGAGAAGTGCATCAACACTGTCACTTTCTAATTCACAGATACACAAAAACAAGAAACAACCAAGTTCAACAAAAGAAAAGAAAATGGTCAAATAGTTTGGAATATCTAGTAAATCACCAATTGCACTAAATAAATGCATTAACTTGTTCACTAAACAACATATTAGACAAAACTGAAATTACAGTTTACACATTGTTTTCTTTGTTATTTAAAAACTGCAGAGAAACTGGATTATCTGTTTGTGCCTCTTTGTTTTGGGATTAAGGACGTCGATACAAAGCATCTGCACATGAAGCTTCCACAGAATGTAAATGACACGTATCGTAGAGACGACAGGTTTATCTGCTCATTGTGGAAACACATGCATAATATAGTTACAGGAAGTAATGTCTAATATTATACTTTGTCGAGGTATAATATGATAAAAACGAGAGCGAAGTGTATCTGAGTTTACTATTAACAAAGTTTACAAAGTCCGTGATAGAAATATTGGAATAGAGTAAAAATGATGCATGAGGAAGATGAGGAGAATAAAAACGCTGAAAGTTTTCTGATTTAAGAAACAATATGTTAAACGTTCATCTCCGGCTGTGATCCGTTAACAAACAGTAACGGCAGAATGAAATGTTGAGGTTTTAGATTGAGACTTCAAATGTCACTTTAGGTCGTTGGATTTCTTTCTATATTTATACACCAACAAAAAAAAAAAAGAAAAGTCCTCTTCCATGAGCTTTTGTTATTTGCCCGGCCCGTGGGTCACGTGACGGCCCAGAAGATGTTCTTGGTTGGGTTGTTTTCGCTGCCGGTATCTGAGCTGAGCTCCCTGAGCGGAGCATCTGTGTTCGCACACATGAAGGGGAACGATAAGAAAAACACGAGTCCTGTACAGTTTAAAAACCTAATCCCAGCCGGCCACTGCTGTAATCTGGCGAGAGGGGGGATTTCTCCGTCCAGCAGATTGACCATGAGGATGTTATTGAGAGGGATGAGGGGCGATTACTCCCTCAGTGGGAGAGAGAGAGGGGGGGGGGGGGAGAGGCTTTTTCTGTGGGAACAATGATGGTGCAGACTCAGACACTGATCAATAGGTTTTATTTGGATGTTTCAGCTTCCTCACAGTGTTGATACGACCCGTGGCCACTTCCTCCCATGATATCATTTGCATTTGGAATCTGCACAGGAAGCTCGACCTGTTCAAGTTCTTATAACTATGAATCCAATAATTCAGGGAGTTCTGCATAAAACCAAAGGAATTCAACAACAACAACGAGTTGAGTTAAACAGGTTTGACCATTAAAAAATATGTATTATGAAGTGATTTTAAAGAAATAGTAATTTGATGAATCCGGGGTATTTTAAAAAAGCTGCTAGTTGCATCTTTTCAACTTCAATTAGTTTCCTGATTCGAGACACAAACATGTCGCTGCTGCTCAGAGTGAATAACCTGAAACTCTTCATTGTTGCTCAGGAGTAACTCAGCAGCTGTTGATGGAAACGTGCGTCTGATTATTTCGCAGACAATCAGGAATTCAAACAGGCGAACGTCCAGTTCTGACTCTGGAGCTTCTGTGAGCCTCTGTTTTCCTGCACCGGTCTCCTGCTGTCTAACAGGCAAACGAACCAATTAGCATTTTGCTGCTGCAGGAAAATATTTGACAGGGAGAGACGACGCAGAGGTCGAGAGTTTGACTCAAGAGTATTTCTACTTGACACGTGGTCTCAAAGTTTGACCTTTCAGTCACAGAGCG